GCTGTTCTTTCTGTATTTAAATATGATATCAAGGACTCCTAAATTGGGTAGAAATTCATACTAGATTAACCCTAAAATTCCTCTATCCCTAACATTCTGTTGACGTGACTTAAGATACGTCTCTGTATGTGTACTAATGTATGCAGTATCAACCAGCTGCTTCATAGGGTGTAATTTAACTGCTATATGTTTCAGATATCAGTTTCTAAAAATGGTACCATGGGTTCAAATTTTCTGAGAGCAGTTTGTTTGACTCGTAGCAAGGAAAAATTTATCCGTATGTATAATTGCACGTGGATGTTTCTATGTGATGTGTACTTGTATTATACATGCATTTTGATAAGTATATATGTTTCCAAGATAACTTCCAGAGTCAAAGCTTGAAGAAAGGCCATTAGACTTTATTTATTTAGTTATTTACATTCATTGCATTTTCAACACCTGTAAAAAAATGACACGATTTTAATGAAAAGTTTAAAATTATCACTGAAACACTGCAGATTACTTCATTGCCCTCAGGAAATATGACTTATAAATGCACTTATAATAGATGCATGTTCAGGAACATGTAAATTGAGTTAATGTTAAAGTATCATCATGTTTGTAGTTTTTAAAATAGTCCATTAAAAAACATATACATATATTTTCCAGCTATAATAATCTGCTTGTTTGAAGCTGTATTTAGGGACAACATCTAAACAAAGCTTAGATTTAAAGCAATTAAAACAAAACATTTGTAGAATATATGAGAGTACTCTGTAGCTGGGAAACACCCCTTAGAGCTTAGGAACCCAGGGAAGACCACCTAAGGGAAATGATCCAAAACATTTGCTGGGAATGCTTGTGTTAAAAATTTGAACCTTGGTATTTGCTGGTGGTGGGGCTATGGGCAAGTCTCATAACCTATCTTTATCTGATAGCACCTTGTAAACTCTTAAAATCTATACCAGTGTCATATGCTATAATCTATATGCATTCACATGTGACTTCATTGTACTCAATTTGAAGTACTTTATTTCAGTGAAGCAATATTTATTTCAGATATATATTAACATGATTCCTGAATTAAATACTGGTATCAATGAAAAATATTAAGATTTATGTTATTTCCATTCATCTCCCTGTGGAAAATAAAGTTAGTTTGATTATAAATTGTGTGAGTCATTCTTTTTATGAGCGCATTAGGAAGCATGAACTTTATATAGGTAAAAATGGTACTAAGACCCACAACTTCAAAGTAATTGTTATTAAAGAAAATTTCTTCAGTTTAACATTAGTATAAATTTTGAATTAATACTGCATAACCTGAGAGACTCAGTCAATACCATTGTGGTGATATTATTTAGACAAATAATTATTATCATGTGGCTCATATTAGTTTTTGTTTGTCTTGTTTTGATTTCAGAAAAAGTTGAAATACTTTCATGGGTCAAGGAGATTTTGACTAAATTGCTGGCAAATTGACATAGTCCTAGGGAAACCCCCCGTTGCTTGGAGTAAAGCAGGATGGGGTCTTTCTTGCACTAAGAAAGGCCTAAGAAGTCAGGTACCTTCTTTTCTTTAGCACACAGTTGCCCTGTCCCAGGGGAGAAAGTGGTCAGGGCTGATTTCAGAGATTCTAAATTATGATTGATTTATCTGTTTCCAATTAAAAAAAAAAAATACCTCCCCTAATAGGAATTTCCAGGTGCCTATAACTTGTATAATTTTTATTTTCTACTGTGTTGCCTTTTTCTTGTTGTTTTGTGGGAGTTATTTGTTATATTAGGAACATGTCGTTTGCTGAACGTATGTATTACAGGTATGTTCTTTGGATTCGTTTTTTTCTCTTGCCTTTTATGATTATTACTTCTCTGAGTTCTGTATAAGAAATGTTTGCTTACCACAAGGTTATGAAAACATTTCTGTTATTTTCTTCTGGAAATTTTATTGTTTTTATGCCGCACATTTAGGTCAACAGTTTATCTGGAATTGTAGGATGGGGATCAAGATTTTTTTCTTTTTTTCCCCAACTGAATACCCAATTGACACAACACCATTCCTTGAAAAGACCATTCATTCTTTCTTCAGCACACTGCACTGTCCCTTTAGTTATAAACCAAGTGTCCATAATTTTGTGGGCTTGTGTTTGAAGCTTCTTTCCTGTTCCATTCAATGTTTGTCTAGGCTTTGCACCAGTGCGACACTGTCTCAGTTTCTGTAGCTTCACATCACATTGTAAGAGTCCAGTTTTGCTCTTCTCGTATAAGGTTGTTTTGGATATTCTTGGTCAAGACCAACGAAATCAAAATTTAACTTTGGCGTAGATATTTAAAAAACTTCCTGGTTGACAGCACTGTGTAGTCAAGACTGAGAATTACTAGTCTCAGAACTTTGAGCCATTTCAGGTTTCTAAGAGGCCTGTGGAAAAGTCTGTCTACTGAACAAATGTGTCTCGCTCTGCAAAATGCACTGCACCAAATCGGTACCCTAAGTACAGCCTAGATGTTATTCCTTGGAAAATATCTTAATATCTGATCATCCGGTTCACCATGATGGGTCTATAATAGTAACTACTTTCTAGCTGACACTTTCTGTTGAATTTATTTTTCTTTCCTCCAATTTATAATCAAGTCTTCATTTTTTTTTTTTTTTGATTTACTGTGAAGCAAGAACTGCTAGATAAACCAGAAAAGCTATTTTCTTTAAAGACCTTTCAAAACCCCACAGCTTTAATATCTACTTGTTACAGTGTTATTGTTAGATTTAAATTTAGTGTAGAATGGATTTCTTATTAGTTCTTTGGTTTTAAACTCATAAATCCCTGTCATTAAATCTTTTTTATTAAGATTTAGCAAACTCCCACAAGCATTTGATAATATTACTTTGAAAGATTTGAGCTCACTGAGACCTACTATTGCGAAATATGTTTTTAAATGTATAGAATGTAGTTGGGAATAATTTTCTGTTTGCAGTTCAACAACAAGAACAAAAAAGCTGGGATAATACTTGTATTCAAGCGCTTAAACTACAGGCAATTATCTTAGAATGCCCAGGTCCCTCCAGAACTTTCTTAATATTTTTAGTGTCAAAACATTTAAACACATTGGTGGGAAATGGCCAGATAAGGAGGAATAAAGCAGTGCGAACAGTTTCCAGGAGCTACTAAATAGCTAACCTCAAATTAAATGTTGGAATGATTTGGTGGGAGTTAACTTTATTCCCTCACTTGATGGTAATATTTACAGTTAAAATGATTAAAATGTGTTCGTGAAGACAATTCAAACATCTATCTGTCCAGAGTTTAGCTTCCACTCTTTTTTCATTCACTCTGATAGATTCAAGCATAGCTATGACAGGGAAGATGTTAGAGATAATCGGGCAAATAATATTTAAACAACCGCAAGGATCTAACAGCAAGTCATGCAAAGCAGATAAACGGGGTGATTGAACAATAGTAGGTGGGTGAAGAATTGAAGTAGCCAAAAGGAAACATTTTGGTAAAGGTGGAAAGGAAGGGATTTTAGTTTGTTTAGTGCTAGGAATAGAATTAATGGGACAGTGTATGTGGATGTTACCAACCTCCCAAAATCTATCCTTTCAGCAGAAGATCTTTGTAGGAATCCTGAAGCTACCGATTTCCTGAAGGGACCTGTCTCTTTAATTGTCCTTAGAATCAGGAAATTGCCAGAAAAGGACAATGTTAAAATCCATACCACCAAATCTCGAGGAGCTTGTATCAGCAGCAGAGACAAAGCCTGAAAACAGCTTCTGGGTTCGCTTCCCAACCTCACCCTACATCCATAATAACTCTGCCCAGAAACTGCAGGTGGCTTCCAAAAAAACCAAACCCATTACAGTCCAGTTGATTTTGACTCTTAGTGACCTGTAGGACAGAGTAGAACCGCCCCATAGTTTCCAAGGAGCCAACCTTGTGGGTAGCAGCGATAGCACTTACCCACTACACCACCAGGGTTTCCAAAAATGGCTTCAGAGTATCCCATATCAAATTACTTGAATCATTGCCTGAAACAGTCTCTAGAGCCTTACACTGTTTTCCTCTATAGGACTGAATCCATCACCTTCCTAGGTTTTATTGTTGCCAAGCCCTGATTGCTGATGAGGAACTCGTTCCTCTTTCAGGCTCGAGTGCCTACCTTACTCCTAAGTTACTCTAGGCAGCTAAGGATGAACCTGTCAGCGGGAAGACGTGTGTCCTGTTTCTCTAACTGCATTGCCCCCTCCTTCTTCTTCCCATTTTCATGTTCATCTTTGACACTGAGAGTAATCTAACTCTCAGCTGCCTAAGGGAAGTTATGTTGAGAGAGTGAGTAAAAAGTGGAATATCTTACAAGCCCATACCTGCTCAGGAACATTAAAATGCGTCTTGTCTATTTTTAACTCGGAGCCTTTCCTTTAATTTCTCCCATCATTTTGATATGCCTTCTACCTTCTCCACCATCCACTAAATCCTATCTATAGAGAAAGACAGTGAGAGTGGGGATGTTTCTTATTTTGCTAGGTTGTTCAATTTGAGCATTGTTTAGCTACTCCTGTTTAATGTATTTTATTTTCAACCAGACATTCTTGCGGTCTTGTATTATTCTTTTATATAGTAGGACTTTAGCCAGTGTAGGCACAAATCAACAGATGGGCACACTGACCGTGGTCTTCTTTGTTCATGTTGTCCCACAGTGTAGCCATTTAGATACATTAATATATATATGTATATAGTTTGACAGTGTTTATTTTATATCTGTAAATTTAGTTTCCCCCAACAAGGAACTTATGCACAGTTTCCAGATATATGCAAGTCTGATACTGACAAAGCTGTATTGAAAATGACAGAAAAAAAAATTTCTCAAAATTTCTAATATGAGTACCCAGACATTGTATATTTTCTTTCTTCTTCTTCTTCTTTTCTTTTTGTTCTTCTCTCGCTGCACTGGAAAACACTGTTGCAATTTATGATTCAATAGTTGTGCACTAACAATTACAAAATAAGTCAGTGTAAAAATTGGTCAAATGGCTGGAAAATAAAAGTTCATAGATTAAAGACGGCCAAAATAATATGTTATTTTTTGTGTTTTATTTTTCAGGTCAAAACTGTGGAGGCTTAGTACAGGGTCCAAATGGCACCATCGAGAGTCCAGGATTTCCTCATGGTTATCCAAACTACGCTAACTGTACCTGGATCATTATCACAGGAGAACGCAATAGGATACAATTGTCTTTTCATACTTTTGCTCTTGAAGAAGATTTTGATATTTTATCAGTTTACGATGGACAGCCCCAACAAGGGAATTTAAAAGTGAGGTAAAGTATCATTTCTTCATGTTATGGATAAGGTAGCACTGTCTGAGTACTCAAATTCTGAAATTTAATTGAAATTAATATTTGAGTTTAATTATTAGAAAAGAAAATTTTATTTCAAAGAAAAAGAATGTAGATTTGTGCCAAATTGTGCACAGTTTTCAATACTTAAAAATATAATTTTATATTGGAAGCAATAATTAACTTCATTTATAGATATCAAATTATTCAAGATCTGTAAAACAGTGTTGTCAAGGAGATCTATGTAAAGCTATAATACACCATTGTTTTTAAGCAACTGCGGATTTGAGAGAAAAAGAACAAAGATAAATGCATGAGGACAATTAAGAGAACAAAAGGAAACTTTATATTATAGAGAATACTTTCAATGAAAAGAATATAGGAGGTGGGTAGTGGTAAGAACACTGAGGAATATCGTATTCTTTGAAGAATTTTCAGTTTACAAAATCGTATGTTCTACTTTCCATCGTTTTTTTCCCTTTGATTTATGATGTTTACCATGAAGAAAAAAAAAATCCTGAGATATATTAATTCATATCTTTGATTTATCAATAAGAAAAAGCACCAATACAAGCATATCTTTTCTTTTTTTCCTGGCAAAAGAAAGAGGAAAAATCTTTTTTAAACATATTAGAATTTCTTAAATTATACACATATATTTAAATATATTTACATATGGCAAACCAAGCCTTTATTCTCCTGTTTTAAAATTCTGCATTAGAGTTTAAGTTTGTTCAATATATGCAGTCTTGTAGAAAAATTGACAGTAGGCAGAAGGAATTATGTTGCTTATGTCAAGAAAATGCTATTGATGTTTAGGTCAGAAATAGTACACACAAAAATTGTATATTTTATTCATGATTTTGTTGAATGAGGAAAAATACTACAAAAATGCATAATTTTATTTGCACATTGTTAATATATTCATAAAGATTAATCATATAGTTAATTTATTAATTATATAGTTAATATTCCAGTATATTAACTATATATTGTATTAATATAGTAAATACTTTAGGTATTTTCACATATAAAATACCTTCCTAGTTTTGCTTGGGTCATCTATAATATTTGTTGTATGTTTTTAGAAACATTTTGTCATTTGGCCTTTCTGCCATATCTTACATACTGTTATCTCTTTTTTGAATCAGTTAGGTGAACTTTCTCCTTATATAACGATCCATGGTCCTAGATATATATATACACACACATATATATATATATACTTATACATACATATGTATATGATGTCTATATATACAATCCTTGCTAACTTGATGCAAGGTTTCTTATCCTCATTCCTGTTCTTCTAAATATTAGTTATTTCCTAGTTTTTTTTAATTCCCAGTCATTGGCACTACTAGGGAATAGTAGTATGTTGTAATAAAAGTAAGAATTGTAACAGATACTGCAAAGAGCGATGGCAGAAAGGGGAATTAAGAATTCCATTTTATTCATACAACAACACTTGTGACTATTGATTAAAAGTGATTCTTTTTCTCCCACTTTAACAATTACTAGTAAATATGTACTCTTAAAAAAAATCTTTTCTTTCTGTCAACATTTCCATTTTCTATAATTCTATCACACAAAGGAAATGTGCCCTGACATGTTACTTTGATTAACTGTGTATCACTACACAATTTGCTACTCTCTATGATCATTTTATACGTCAATAAATATAAAGCTTATGAAATAGAATTTCTGCTATTTCTCTATTGTAACAGTGGCAAAATTAGGGTCAGAACAATTTGATTCATTACACTGTGTTTAAAAGTTCCAGGGAATAGTATATAGATGCTTGTACCATAGAGAGTTTTACGAACAGTGGTGAGTTGTCTGTGTAGCACCTTGGGTATTTAACTCAGGTATTTTTAGTAGAAAAACCAAGAGATACTGCATGGAAAGAGACAACTTGGGGTCCTAGGAATTACTCAGTTAACTTTAATTTTTCATTTGTGGGAGAGAACAAACATGTCATATTACTGTGTGTTTCTTGTAGTGTTTATGGTAAGATGTAAGGTCCTTAAGGTTAGGATGATGCTTTCATCTCTATATTAAAATTAATAATTCTTCCTTCTACCTCCACACCCAGAAAGCCTTTCTAAGTGGACGTTCTATGGGTGTGCAGTAACTGCTCGGGGGACAAAAGTGACTCTTCTCGATGTCATACCAATAGGAGGCAAAACATATCACAAATAGAATTCCACCAATGACTACTGAGAGCTATGGGTCTTTACTAAAATAAAATTTTGAAAAATAATGGTGTGAAAAACGAACGTGAGCACTGTTAGGGAAAACACACCGAGAAGGACTCAGCATTTCAGCGTCAGTTGATGGGGAAAGTAATTATAAATAGAATCAAATACTAATTAATTTGGGGGAAGGCAGCTTTATTGCTATTTGTTTTCCGTTATATCTTGGAACAGTTGTTTATTTCTCAAGTACAATTAACTAACAACGCTTAAAGCAGCTCCAGAATCCAAAAGAGGGACACTTTTGTGAGATGATTGACGTACTGAGCTGCTGATCCACTGAGCTGTCGTGAAAGTTATTACCTTCAGCTGTCACGGTCCAGCAACGTTTCACTGCTGTATAAAACCTGTTTTTAGTAGCTCAAAATGTGCGCTAACTAAAACATGAATTAATGGTTGTGTGTTAAGCAACTTGAGCATTTATTATAAAGAATTTTCTTTTGTTTAACCACAATGAGGACGTTTTCTAAACAGGCATAAGAAGTAGATTAAACTTGCAACTAACAAACATAGAATTTGGAGTTTAAAATTATGGATATTTACCCTTCAACTTAAACTTTAGTTAGTAATATATTATTTACCAAATCAAAAAAAATCTTTAAAGTTAAAAAATATTAATGTAATGTACAGTTGAGGTTATCACCTTGGATTATTTCTATAATACAAACACACACACAAACTCATATGTCTTTGGTCCTGCATCAATAAATTAAATTTAATATGTGAATATGGAGAGGCAAATTAAGACTTCTCTTAAGTTAAGCACAGGAGAAAAGATTTAACTCAAAGTTAAAATTAGAAATCTACCCTTTGAGTTATATAGAAATACAAACATATTTATTGATTTTTGTGAACTGTTGCAGGACTATTATTTCTGAATCTCTGATTTTCATTGACTTTGAACCTTCTCTTGCTTCTCAAATCTCTTCGTAGGTAACACCATTTAGTCACACAATCCTAAATTTTGTATTTTCAACATTTTTCCAGTAACTATTCCCTGTTTTTATTCTCACAGTAAACACTTCAGTGAAGACCCCTGTTTTATCATAAGTTGACCAACACATACTGAATGGCCAACGCAGTAACATTCCTGCCTCTTGGGTCATCTTACTTTAATCCTGAAACATTTGCTGCATTCTTACTATGTTAAACCCCTATTCCATATTGTCTGCAAGATAAACATTTCTAGTAAATTTTGCCCTGATATTCAAGGGATTCTATTATCTGACTCCAAACTGCATCTCTGTCCTTCAGTCTTTCCCATTTGTTTTCTATGAACGATTTCTTATGTAATTGAACGAATCTGTGAATTACTCCTTCATCTGACCTTGCTAAGAAGACATTTATCCTCTCTGCTTCCTACACCTCTTTTTGCTGTTCTGTATGCTACCTGTCTTTCAGAAGCCATTTCACATTAAATTTAATTCAGAAAATCTTCTCTGTACACCTCAGGTTAATAAAACACAGGAACAACCACTTTCATGATTTTTCACTCCTGTAGCACTTGATACTTACACACACATTGAAGCGTATGCTCATTTGAAATCACGATTGCTCTAAAGTTGCGTCTAGCTGGAATTTGTATATCTTTGGTCAACTACAACATACAGTCTCTGAGGCCAACAATTATGTCAATAATGTGTCTTTTCCTGTGGTGATTCAAAGAGTCAATAAATCTGTGTGGGGTTATTTTGATTAAAATGTTTCTGATTCAGGGGCAGACGTTACTTATAACTTTCTCCTTTAAATGAGCATTTTTTTTCCAGTGTAATGATTGTTGTCCTGAGATGTTCTCTAAATTTGAAGCAGCCTTTATTTGTCCCAAAATCTTAAAATAATTGAAGTTGGTTAAACTTAACATCAGTTTCCAACTGTGACAATAGTATAATATCAGATGTTCAGGAGTAATCTTCTTAAAGACTCAAAGTTTAAAAATGAGAAACTTTGAAGGAAAAGTACACTATGAAAATGTAGAAAATCAGTGTATATTATTCTGTGATTATCATAGAATACTAGACATAGAAAAATAACCTTGCCAGTTATCTTGACTCTCTCTATAATTTGTAGAAGATTGCCCCTGATTTTCTGCAATGTTGATAATGAAGACGTTAGAGATGAGTGAGATAGGACCATTAAAGTCAGGAAATTAAGCATAGCGTTGTTAAAATATTACAGTTTTCCCCCACTTTTCTAACCTGTAATAATGTGTTTGAATACATTAAAATAATAGTAAACCTATATTAGATATATTTGGCATTGTTATGAATTGCAAACTTGAGGATTAGGACAGTATTTCAACTGTATTATGATCATAGTAGACTAGACATCTAGTGATGCCTAAATCCTGTCTTACTGTCCCCCGCTGCCTGTACGAGATCCTGAGGGAGCCATTCACAGAAACACAGTTGGATAAAAATCAAAGTATCATTTTATTTTTGACTTGGCTGATTAGTAATACCCCAGTTAAGAGTCTCCAATACACGTCGGGTAAGGCATGGATTAGAATAAATGTTTCTATAGGGATTCAAGCCTCATACTAACACCAAACACAAACCTTAACACCTTACCACGTTTGACCAACTACATGGTCAGAAGCTTAAAAGAAAGCCCAGCAGGATCAGGCCAGCTCATGGGGAGGGAGGGCTCCAGAATGGTGGGTCTTGGCAGCCTGAGTGAGAAAGTAATAAAAGAAAGGATACTGCACATAAGTGATATTTTAGCCGAGGC